AGATTAATGAGTGACCTTCGTTCTTGATTTAAAAAAACAAACTAATTTGTACAGACATTCAGACATTCTGCCAGCTTAAGAAATTAATTGTTCGGGTGACTGTCGAAATAAGCAATGCCATTGTCAACCACTAAATACTTTATGGCAAAAAATGTTAATGCAAAATTCTTTCTGATATTTCTGATATACATAAAAGCAATAGGATAATGTCCTTAATCTTATATCTTCACTAAAAGAGGAGTTCACAAAATTCTCCAGTAGACCTAGAATAAATAGAGGTTATCACGCGAGTGTGTTTGGGGATGGTAAATATCCTGCACGAGGAATAAACATTGTATTTAGCGAGCCTTGGCGAACTAAATACATAGTGTTTATTCCTAAAACAGGATATTTACCATCCCCAAACACACAAGCGTGATAACCTCTTTATCATATAATGTAATTGATTTTCAATTCTGTGCTTGAAAATCGCTTTCCCTCTCTCACAAACATAACCTAAACATTGCGAGTTTTCCTGGAATGCGCGCATTAATATTTAATACGTCACAGGGTAAGTGATGTGTCAGTCGGACAGTGACAGTTGCCAATATAGTTCAAACTGAAATCTGTTTCTTATACAGTGGCGAAGCAACATATACGCAAAACAACAATTGTTTTCACTTGCATTTTGCGGCAATCCATCGGTCTGTCCGCTAGAGTAACTGCCCATTGTCAAAGAGAAGCTACTCTAACCCTAGTCTATGAGACGGCAGGGCCACGTTCAGACGTTGTTGACAGTCGGTCTGTCCTGTCATAACGTTAAGGAGTGTAGTCAGATGTACATACAGCGACAAAACGAAACAAGATAACCATTCAAACATATTTCGGCAAAATCCAACTATTCTAATTTGTGGAAAAGGCTTCAAGCTGCAGAGGTCTACAAGCAAATATATGGCTACTGATCCTGCTTGGCTAGGCCTAGTGCCCTCGCAAAATTGTTTCGAAATGTATATCTCCAATGCTGCCAAAACTTAAATGCCCTAGCTGCGTCACAGTTAGACAATGATTTTAAGTATATTAGACTGTTCTTTTGATAATGATAGCAATTATCCCTGTAGTTTATCCAGATTCCCGATTGTTAATTCTGACTCGATCGCCGAATGACAAGGGCGACGCCATGTTTGTTTATAAACACTGAAAGTAGTCCCTACTTGACCTTTGATATTATCTCTATCCGCATATGACCCCAACGAATATCGTTTTTATCCGTTGGCTCTATCCTGCCGAGAAACCTACCCACTGTATGATAAATAGTTTTTATTAGGCGAGTTTATTTATCTATTTGGCTATTTTGATTGTGTAGCTTACAATAGCAGCATGGTGGTTACAAGTGTGTTCAATCACTATTCCGGCAACACGTGCAATACAACTGTTCTGAGCTGAAATATTCTCAGGTGTTTGTCAACGAAATACATTTCACATGTTATCGCACACAGAGAAGCGTCTGTAAATAATGTTATGATTGAGTATTTCAGAGAATCAAGTATCATTTCCGAATAATCTATCGTCTTGCAGGTGAACCCCCTGAGTGTTACGAAACAAGAGTCAACGCCTTCTTGACTGCTCTCCAAAACTTCTCCGCTGAAGTACAGACTGTCAAGGCCGACGCTCCACAAGACTGTCCGGATCGTAGGTCTTTTACAATCATGAAAAATTATTTTCTTTTTATTGCAATAACATTATATATCCCAAAACAATACATTCACTGACCTACTGCTAATGTGACTTGAACCTTGCTTTACAAACATCTGCCATTAGGTGGCAGATTCAGCGGGTTTCAATCAGGCCATTAAAACGCTACTTGAGAAATGTGTTATTATTCATCTAAACTAAGTCAACAATAACTGATTACTGTTATTACCAAGAGGCAGTTTTACACAGCGACGGTTCTAGTGCAGAGAACTTGCGCAGCTATAAGTAAAAGGAGGACACGTGTTTTAAATTTGGATAGTTAAACTTTCCATCACATGCCCATTGCAATTCAAGTTCATGTTCATGACGTAACAATCATGACATCAGAAAGTACATAGAAATATGTAATCTTTAACTTGTAGTGTTTTGGGGTATCCTTTCTTGACGTTGTGCGTGGTGCGTGAGCTGATTGCCTTACACGACTAGAAAAGATACCAGGATACCCGGAATCTGTGTAACATAGTCAAGATGCATGTAGACATATCAGCAAATAAATATCAACTCATGAGATAATGTGGCTGACTCGGGTATGGTCTTACAGTCGTTACTTAAATCAAGTTTCAAAATGATATGCCAGCGCAAACAAAACCATGTCTTGTTGACTTTAAGTTGCTGCTATATACTTGAAGGTACCGGTGCGGTGTTTGTGGCGTCGTGTGATGGAACTGATGTTGTCGTCGTGGATCCTAACGGCTTCATCCAAAATGGCATCACTACAATTGTAAATGTAGATGGATTGACATTGTCTGGCCCCCCCAACACGATGTCCGACTATGCATTATCTTATTACGACAACGGTGCTACGATTATAATCGTATGTAAGGTCATGCCATCCAGGGTAGATACAGCCATACTAACAGCGGCTGGTACGTGTGTGAGCATTATGTATTTTTGTTCAAAATAACTTATCGATTTGTATGTTGAGAAAATACCCCTGTTTGGACATGCAATGCATCCCTTGTTCAAAATCACTAATGTTGCGAGTGGAGAGTTAGGGATGACAATCACTCAATGTCCCAGAAAAGGAACCGATGTGATTTTAGAATCGATATCTGTGTGGGAACTTTGTAGATACACATAAACAAAACATACTAGAATGTATTGTCCTGTGCTACAGCAGATGCTCACCACGGAGATGACGGATGCTGAGTTACAATGACTTAGGTTAAGAATTGCAGAGTAATGCCCCTTTTTGTCTTTGTGCATGTAGACATCGCCCTCGTGTTTTGATGTCATGGCGGAAAATTTGTTTTCACCACATAAAACAAGTACGTTTTCGTATCGAATGTGTCACTTTATACATAATCCTACAATTGTAATATATCTGTCATGATGTTGTTCGGATATACGACAGTATTTTGTTCGCTCACAGTTTACATAAAGCTGTCAAATAAACTGTACTTTATCTATGTACGATCTAATAAGGCTACATAATTTAGAGGCTTTTTCGTCAGCAAAACAGAAACTTGGACAACACTAAACACTTTTTGCTTTTCAAACCAGTCTTTAATTGTCCATCATGGGGGTAAAAAATCAATAATATACAAGTCCGTTGAATTGCAAAGTCAGAGGTTGTTTCAGTACTGCGCGACCACAATTCTCGCACAGCATTGATTTTTCGAAACTATGTGTCTGAACATTAACTCAGCAACCATGATCCCAGCGATAATGTAGTTAATCACAAGCTTTTTGTCAGATATCTCGCGAGACCCGTGTTGTATGCAACTCACCGCCATGTGAATGCCGACTTGTATACAATTTCAGTTCGTGCAACTAATTGCATACAACAAGTTGTATACAACTACCCCTATAGGAGATTAAATAACTGTAATATCGTATCACATGATACACTTCTGTTTCTGACAGGTAATTGGAAAGATACTGCTTTGATCCTGCCATATTCTTACAACTACCCTATTATACTTTTACATGTGATCTATACAAGTAAGTGATTGAATGAGTGAGTAGGATTTAACAGTATTCCAGTTAAGGTAAGGATGTCATTTGTGGTATGACTCCACGTCCTGCTACAATACAAAAAAGCAACAATTAAAAGTGAGTGAGTTGGGTTTAACGCCGCTTTTAACAATATTCCAGTTATATCACTGTGTGTCAGCTTAATTTGGGAGGAAATCCCGAAGTAATGCAAGTGTCAGACGTTTACCACCTCGGTGAAACCCACGAGCACGTGTATGCTGCTGACAAACCTAGAAACATTATCGGGGCGTACCGCATTCGAACCCACAATCATAGGTCTCTGGTGTGCCCAAGGGACGCAACTCTGCACAGCGAATCGCGGCGCCTTCGACGACTGGGCCACCCGTGCCCCCTTCTATACAAGTAAACGTTCCATTGTTTGACACCTTCATTGACACTTTTATTCTTTATCAGCGCAAGTCTTAAATTGTCATTGATTTGTTGTCAGGGACAGCCCAAAACGTAACTGGCATTGCCTTCTTTCCTGCCGCCGGAATCTTCATTTATATAGCCCTTACCAGGAATCCTGGCCAGAATGGCATCTATTTCATAGACAGAGTTTCCTTCGGAATCGCAATGGCCTTCCCATATGATGGCGAGACTGGCAACATTTATATTTGTGGCGAGTATGTACACAGGCTTACTTCAAGGACTTAGAGGAAGTGTTGTGCATGATTGGTTTGGTTTTGTATGTTTGATATTACACGCTGCACTCAGCAATATTCCAGCTATATGACGGCGGTCTGTAAATAATCGAGTTTGGACCAGACAATCTAGTGATTGACATCATGAGCATCGATACACGCAAATGGGATACGATGATATGCATCAACCACGTCAGAGAGTCTGACCGCCAGATCCCGTTAGTCGCCACTAACGACAGGCATTGTCGCCAGGATCATGATATCACATTGCACAGGTCATTAAAAGAAGACAGATCGGAGGTTTGTTTGTTTGTTGTTTAACACCGCACTCAGCAATATTCCAGCTATATAACGGCGGTCTGTAATTAATCGAGTCTGGACCAGACAATCCAGTGTTTGACATCATGAGCATCGATCCACGCAAATGGGATCGATGACGAAAGGAAGGGCTGACAGGGAGTTGTCGGTTTTTTTTATGTTTACATTTATGTTGTGAGAATAGTTTTTGGCTCTGTGTTCCTATTGCGTATTTAATATTTAACACCCTTAAGTAATGCGAGTGGTAGAGAATGGCGCAAGCTTAACAACTGAACAATAGCTGATACAATATTGCTGCAGCTACCTGTACATGAGTGACGGTCAGAAGATCCTCAGAAGACCGCTCGACGGCACAGGCGACTGGGAGCAAGTCTTGAAGAATTCACTGCCTCCTCTGGAGTTCGTGGTTCTCGACGATGGTAGGTGCAATACAATTAATCAAATTATAATTCTGGGTTGGCATGTGAATATTATGTTTTTTCCTTTGCGAATGTACACATGGAGACCATTACGTCTGAACAACATGTTTGGACAACATGTTTGTAAATTCAGGTGCCCGTGTTATAGGGATATGCAATTTTACATAGGTCTGTGAAATTACACGGGCATGTAAATAATGCATGGTCACAGGAGACAGAGTGACACGCCCGACAAGGAGGGTGGTGTAACCAGCATATTGCTGCTCAAACTTGACCCTGGTAACCCATACAAGGTCACAGGAGGCAGAGCGACACGCCCGACAAGGTGGGTGGTGTAACCAGCATATAACTATTCAAACTTGACCCTGGTTACGCATTCAAGGTGACTGGAGGCAGAGCGACAAGCCCGACAAGGAGGGTGGTGTAACCAGCATATAACTGCTCCAACGTAGATTGGACGGTGGCTAGTGATGAGCCTTGCCCTGCTGTAGATAGCGTCTCCAAAGAGTTGAAGTTGTGTTTCAATGAACATTAAATGTCTGGCAACTCTGTTTTGCGCCATTCCTGTTTGCAACATTCCCACTGTGCGTAGACGTTGAGCACTGCGTAATCATATTGACGGTTGTAAAGCCACAGTCCTGAGTATAATTCTGCCCATAAACACGCAAACATCCAAATAAACAGCATGAACATGGACGTGCATTTTGTAAGTCAGGACATTAAAGTCGATGGAATGTCTTCATGAACATGATTTGAAAGATGTATGTTTCGAATTCAGAATAAATGTATTTTTTATTATTTACTTTTTATGTACTTTTTATTAAGCATAGATATTTTTTCCGGTAGTATATATGTATCTGATACAAGTAGAAAAGTGTTTTGCTGTGAATCAATGCCTAAAAGATCATACATTTTATCTACATTTCTCTGATACAAATCGGTTAGGAATGCTGACTGCGTGAGTTCTACTATTTCATGACAATGCCTCTTCTCACACATGGGTGCACGGGTGGCCCAGTCGTCCAAGGTGACGCTATTTGCTGTGCAGAGTTGCGTCCTTTGGGCATGCCAGAAACCAATGATCGTGGGTTCGAATCCCGGTTCACCCCGATCATGTTTCAATTGATGATGCTTGTCAGCACCATACCCGTGCTCGTGGGTTTTACCAAAGTGGTAAACGTCTAAGACCTGCATCACTTTGGGTTTTCTCCTAACATCAAGTCGACACGTCGTGATATGCCTGGAATACTGTTTAAAGAGGTGTTAAACCCATTTCACTCACTCACTTTCTTATACAGGAAGAATTGTGTTCTGTGAAACATCCGGTGCCGTGTTGATATATGATCCTACTGAAAAAACATACAGACAGCTGAAAGAGCCTACCGCTGGTGATTGCTGTGGTTCAATTAAAGTCAGCCCCTGTGATGATGACCTGATCTACATCGCAAACAAAAACGATCCGTGAGTAAAACAGACGTTATACGTTTTGAATATATACACACTAAACTTTCTTTCTTCAAGACAAGAACAAATACATAATTGGCATCTTTTATTATTCTTAAGATTTGCGTTTGTTGGTAATTCATCTGTAAGTGTTCATCCAATGTCAGTCTTGTTGGTATGTCGTTGCCCCTTGTGCCGACCCCTTCTCATATCAGGTTGCTTGATAGCCAGGTAGGAGTGAGGTCCAAGGTGAGTATTTGCGTCTTTCCTAAAATGAGTGAAAAATAACTGAAGATGAGTTCATAGTGGGTTTATTGTAACAGAACTGAATTGTGTTTACAGTCTGAACATGTGGCCTTAAATCGACATGATATACTTGAGGGACCACCACGTGATATACTTGTAGTTAAAGGGTGTAAGGGACCACCACATGATATACTTGTAGTGAAAGGGGGTGAGGGACCACCACATGATATACTTGTAGTTAAAGGGGGTGAGGGACCACCACGTGATATTCTTGTAGTTAAGGGGAAGGGACCACCACATGATATACTTGCAGTTAAAGGGTGTGACGGACCACCATGTGATATACTTGTAGTTAAAGGGTGTAAGGGACCACCACATGATATACTTGTAGTGAAAGGGTGTGTGGGACCACCACATGATATACTTGTAGTTAAAGGTGGTGAAGGACCGCAACATGATATACTTGTAGTTAAAGGGGACGAGGGACCACCACATGATCTACTTGTAGTTAAAGGGGGTGACAGCCCACCACATGATATACTTGTAGTTAAAGGGGGTGGGTAACCACCACATGATATACTTGTATTTAAAGGGTGTGACAGACCACCACGCGATATACTTGTAGTTAAAGGGGACGAGGGACCACCACATGATCTACTTGTATTTAAAGGGTGTGACAGACCACCACGCGATAAACTTGTAGTTAAAGGGGGGAAGGGACCACTACGTGATATACTTGTAATTAAAGGGGGTGAGGGACCACCACATGATATACTTGTAGTTAAAGGGGGTGACAGACCACCACGTGACATAGTTGTAGTTAAAGGGGGTGGGGGACCACCACATGGTCTACTTGTGGTTGAAGGGTGTGACAGGCCACCACATGATATACTTGTAGTTAAAGGGGGGAAGGGACCACCACGTGATATACTTGTAGTTAAAGGGGGAAAGGACCACCACGTGATAAACTTGTAGTTAAAGGGGATTGGACCACGACATGATATACTTGTAATTAAAGGGGGAAGGGACCAACACATGATATACTTGTAGTTAAAGGGTGTGACAGACCACCACGTGACATAGTTGTAGTTAAAGGGGGTGGGGGACCACCACATGGTCTACTTGTGGTTGAAGGGTGTGACAGGCCACCACATGATATACTTGTAGTTAAAGGGGGGAAGGGACCACAACGTGATATACTTGTAGTTAAAGGGGGAAAGGACCACCACGTGATATACTTGTAGTTAAAGGGGGTGAGGGACCACCACATGATATACTTGTAGTTAAAAGTGATGGGACCACCACATGATATACTTGTAGTTAAAGGGGGTGAGGGACCACCACATGATATACTTGTAGTTAAAGGGGGTAAGGGACCACTACATGATATACTTGTAGTGAAAGGGGGTGAGGGACCACCACATGATATACTTGTAGTTAAAGGGGGTGAGGGACCACCACGTGATATTCTTGTAGTTAAGGGGAAGGGACCACCACATGATATACTTGCAGTTAAAGGGTGTGACGGACCACCATGTGATATACTTGTAGTTAAAGGGTGTAAGGGACCACCACATGATATACTTGTAGTGAAAGGGGGTGAGGGACCACCACATGATATACTTGTAGTTTAAGGTGGTGAAGGACCGCAACATGATATACTTGTAGTTAAAGGGGACGAGGGACCACCACATGATCTACTTGTAGTTAAAGGGGGTGACAGCCCACCACATGATATACTTGTAGTTAAAGGGGGTGGGTAACCACCACATGATATACTTGTATTTAAAGGGTGTGACAGACCACCACGCGATATACTTGTAGTTAAAGGGGACGAGGGACCACCACATGATCTACTTGTATTTAAAGGGTGTGACAGACCACCACGCGATAAACTTGTAGTTAAAGGGGGGAAGGGACCACTACGTGATATACTTGTAATTAAAGGGGGTGAGGGACCACCACATGATATACTTGTAGTTAAAGGGGGTGACAGACCACCACGTGACATAGTTGTAGTTAAAGGGGGTGGGGGACCACCACATGGTCTACTTGTGGTTGAAGGGTGTGACAGGCCACCACATGATATACTTGTAGTTAAAGGGGGGAAGGGACCACCACGTGATATACTTGTAGTTAAAGGGGGAAAGGACCACCACGTGATAAACTTGTAGTTAAAGGGGATTGGACCACGACATGATATACTTGTAATTAAAGGGGGAAGGGACCAACACATGATATACTTGTAGTTAAAGGGTGTGACAGACCACCACGTGACATAGTTGTAGTTAAAGGGGGTGGGGGACCACCACATGGTCTACTTGTGGTTGAAGGGTGTGACAGGCCACCACATGATATACTTGTAGTTAAAGGGGGGAAGGGACCACAACGTGATATACTTGTAGTTAAAGGGGGAAGGACCACCACGTGATATACTTGTAGTTAAAGGGGGTGAGGGACCACCACATGATATACTTGTAGTTAAAAGTGATGGGACCACCACATGATATACTTGTAGTTAAAGGGGGTGAGGGACCACCACATGATATACTTGTAGTTAAAGGGGGTAAGGGACCACTACATGATATACTTATAGTTAAAGGGGGTGAGGGACCACCACGTGATATACTTGTAGTTAAAGGGGATGAGGGACCACAACGTGATGTACTTGTAGTTAAAGGGGGTGAGGGACCACCACATGATATACTTGTAGTTAAAGGGGGTGAGGGACCACCACATGATATACTTGTAGTTAAAGGCGATGAGGGACCACCGCATGATGTACTTGTAGTTAAAGGGGATGAGGGACCACCACGTGATATACTCGTAGTTAAAGTGGGGGACGGAGCACCACGTGATATACTTGTAGTTAAAGTGGATGAGGGACCACCACTTGACATACTTATAGTTAAAGGGGCTGAGGGACCACCACGTTATATACTTGTAGTTAAAGAGGGTGTGGGGCCACTAGATGATATACTTGTAGTTAAAGGGGGTGAGGGACAATCGCATGATATACTTGTTGTTAAAGTGGGGGACGGACCACCACATGATATATTTGTATTTCAAGGGTTTGACGGACCACCACGTGATATACTTGTAGTTAAAGGGGGTAAAGGACCACCACATGATATACTTGTAGTTAAAGAGGAAGGAACCACCACATGATATACTTGTAGTTAAAGGGGGTGAGGGACGATAACGTGATATACTTGTAGTTAAAAGGGGTGATGGACCACCACGTGATATACTTGTAATTAAAGGGGGTGAGGGACCACCACATGATATACTTGTAGTTAAAGGGGGTGAGGGACCACCACATGATATACTTGTAGTTAAAGGGGGCGATGGACCACCACATGATATACTTGTAGTTAAAGGGTTTGACGGACCACCACGTGATATATTTGTAGTTAAAGGGGGTGATGGACCACCATGTGGTATACTTTTAGTTAAAGGGGAAGGGACCACCACATGATATACTTGTAGTTAAAGGGTGTGAGGGACCACCACGTGATAAACTTGTAGTTAAAAGTGATGGGACCACTACATGATATACTTATAGTTAAAGGGGGTGAGGGACCACCACATGATATACTTGTAGTTAAAGGGGGTGAGGGACCACCACATGATATACTTGTAGTTAAAGGGGGTGAGGGACCACCACATGATATACTTGTAGTGAAAGGGGATGAGGGACCACCACGTGATATACTCGTAGTTAAAGTGGGGGACGGAGCACCACGTGATATACTTGTAGTTAAAGTGGATGAGGGACCACCACTTGACATACTTATAGTTAAAGGGGCTGAGGGACCACCACGTTATATACTTGTAGTTAAAGAGGGTGTGGGGCCACTAGATGATATACTTGTAGTTAAAGGGGGTGAGGGACAATCGCATGATATACTTGTTGTTAAAGTGGGGGACGGACCACCACATGATATACTTGTATTTCAAGGGTTTGACGGACCACCACTTGATATACTTGTAGTTAAAGGGGGTAAAGGACCACCACATGATATACTAGTAGTTAAAAGGGGTGAGGGACGATAACGTGATATACTTGTAGTTAAAAGGGGTGATGGACCACCACGTGATAAAATTCTAATTAAAGGGGATGAGGGACCACCACATGATATACTTGTAGTTAAAGGGGGTGAGGGACCACCACATGATATACTTGTAGTTAAAGGGTTTGAAGGACCACTACGTGATATACTTGTAGTTAAAGGGGGTGAGGGACCACCTGATGATATACTTGTAATTAAAGGGTGTGAGGGACCACCACATGATATACTTGTAGTTAAAGGGTGTGTGGGACCACTACATGATTTACTTGTAGTTAAAGGGGGTGAGTGACCACTCGTGATATACTTGTTGTTAAAGTGGGGGACGGAGCACCACGTGATATACTTGTAGTTAACAGGGTGTGAGGGACCACCACGTGATATACTTGTAGTTAAAGGGGGCAAGGGACCACCACATGATATACTTGTAGTTAAAGGGGGTGATGGACCACCACATGATATACTTGTAGTTAAAGGGTGTGAGGGACCACCACGTGATATACTTGTAGTTAAAGGGGGTGAGGGACCACCACATGATATACTTGTAGTTAAAGGGTGTGAAGGACCACTACGTGATATACTTGTAGTTAAAGGGGGTGAGGCACCACCTCATGACATACTTATAGTTAAAGGGTTTGACGGACCACCACGTGATATATTTGTAGTTAAAGGGGGTGATGGACCACCATGTGATATACTTGTAGTTAAAGGGGAAGGGACCACCACATGATATACTTGTAGTTAAAGGGGGTGAGGGACCACCACATGATATACTTGCAGTTAAAGGGTGTGAGGGACAACCACGTGATAAACTTGTAGTTAAAAGGGGTGAGGGACGACCACGTGATATACTTGTAGTTAAAGGGGGTGAGGGGCCACCACGTGATATACTTGTAGTTAAAGGGGGAAGGGACCACCACATGATATACTTGTAGTTAAAGGGGGAAGGGACCACCACATGATATACGTGTAGGTAAAGGGGATGGGACCACCACGTGATATACTTGTATATAAAGGGGTTAGGGACCTCCCCGTGATATACTTGTAGTTAAAGTTGGTGAGAGACATCTACATGCTCTACTTAGCTGCTGCAGGTACTCAGAAGGAATCTCATCATGTCAGCATGAATGCCTCGGTATAAGTAGATTTTAGATTAGGCATGAGAGAGAAGCCGCGAAAAAGGCATCTCTTGGTCGGACTTATTTAAGTTATCAGGGTGCATGCATTCAGTTTGTTTGTTGAATGGTTTTGTTTGTTTGTTGTTTAACGCCGCACTCAGCCATATTCCAGCTATATGATGGCGGTCTGTAAATTATCAAGTCTGGACCAGACAATTCAGTGATTTACATCGAAAGCATCGAACTACGAAATCGGGATAAGATGACAAGCATCAACCAAGTTGCCTCTTACGACAAGCATAGTAATGTAACATATTTTCCATCAATTTATAAACCAGTTTCATTTGTACAGTCGAAGTGTTGCCCTGCTCTCACCGGTTTCTTCAATGAAGGTGACTAAATGGAGGTTTCTTCTTTCAGGGATATCGAGATCTACAATGCTACATCACTTGAATACGTTAGGTCATTGACATACACCACGTCGACTCCCTCTGCATGCCCATCTATTGCTTGTGATCCAACATTGTGGTATGAATTGTTACAATGTATTAGTTACTGTTACACATCCAGCAAGAACAACGACCAAGTAATTAACCAGTAATAGAACACAGAGTAATAGACTTTATATTGTTTCTTGTTACTTATATTGCACTTCAAAACAGCTTGAAGGTTTGATTTGATATGATTGAGTTGTGACTGAAAATAGTTCAATCCTAATATTCTTCTAATATATCCACTAAAGAATTTTCGAATAAGGGTTTTCAATCAAAACCGAATAATTAAGTTTAATCAACAAGATGTGTCAGATATGTTTAGAGGGGATAACGTTTAGATACCTCCTCATCCGTTAAATGTTGAATTGTAATTCTTATATATATTGTCATGTTGCAGCTGTGCATAAACGGCATTCCAAGACGGTAAGTATTTGCTTGTTGATTCTTGAGAACCCCTCAGCCATGACAGTTCTTCCCTTCAGTTATTTAGAAACTTCTGATCTTCTGCAAACACCATAAAATCTAAAGGATACCTGCCATATGTACCAAGTATACTATAAAAAGGCATTATTTTCAAGTGAGAAATATATTAACATGTACTTCTGTGGTCTAGTGGTAGAGTTGAAGGTCCGGGGTTCGATCCCCGGCCGCGTCATACCAAAAGACGTTAAAAGATCGCACTTGTTGTTACCCTGTCTGGCGCTCGACATTTAAGGGCTAAGACAAGGACTGGTCAGCTCAGGGTCAGTATACTGTGTCTGAGTGGGGTATTCATGTTAAACTGCGGCATGGTATCTCAGTGGGCTAGCACTATAAATCAGCATAAGTAAGGACTAGTACAAGCAGCCACACACACACACACGCGTGCATGCCTGTTGCTTTATAAGTGCAATAACCTTGGACGCGACGTTAAGCCCCATTTCACTTCACCCCAAACAGAAATGACAACAGGTGCTCGCGTACACAAATGACAACTTTTGTCTAAACATAGTTATTACTTAAGATATGAAGAGAGCCAATCACATGCCAGTGTATGGAGTTGTGTGTTTGCGATCTCGTGTGAGCCTGTGCCTGTATGTATATGTGTGCTCAGGTGAATCAAGTAATTCATTTGCTATAATGAATTTGCCTTATATTTTCAGGATGAGCTGATATCGGAAGCAACGTTATCCGAACGTTAAAAAATAAAAAAAGTGTTGTGACTTTGTTTTGTGAATAAACCTTGTTACACTTACAACATGTTTGTTTCTTTTTGTCAATAGCGAGTACACCATCTATATGGATGCCTCTACAGAGTATATCATAGTTATATATATATGTTGACAAGTAATGCGTAAAATACCTTCTCACAATATAAATAGTAAACCTTCACAGAACAACTCAGGTGTCAATATTAAAACACTTTCTTCACGTTTCAAACTTAATGTGTTTTTTTTCTATATTGCTGCTAAAGGGTTATCCTCAGAAGGCAGAAAAGCGACCAAAACAACTTTGCACTGAAAGAATATTTATCTTTCCCACAGGCACAAAAGGTTTTTGTTTACATGTTGTTTACTAAACAGTACAAGTTGATAGTTTCAACAGCTGGAGGACTTGCTATATTTCTAGGGTGGAGGGGTAGGTAGGAACCAGACATAAAACATCAATGCCAGAGATCCTAGGGTGGATGGGTAGGTAGGAACACGTATAAAACGTCAATGTCAGAGATCCTGGGGTGGATGGGTAAGTAGGAGCACATTTAAAATGTCAATATCAGAGATCCTAAGGTGGAGGAGTAGGTAGGAACCACATCTAAAATGTCAATGACAGAGATCCTGGGGTGGATGGGTAGGTAGGAACCACATATAAAACGTTAATGTCAGAGATCCTGGGATGGATGGGTAGGTAGGAACACGTATAAAACGTCAATGTCAGAGATCCTGGGGTGGATGGGTAAGTAGGAGCACATTTAAAATGTCAATATCAGAGATCCTAAGGTGGAGGAGTAGGTAGGAACACATATAAAATGTCAATGTCAGAGATCCTAGGGTGGAGGGGTAGGTAGGAACCACATATAAAATGTCAATGTCAGAGGTGCTAGGGTGGAGGGGTAGGTAGGAACACATATAAAATGTCAATGTCAGAGGTCCTAGGGTGGAGGGGTAGGTAGGTACACATATAAAATGTCAGTGTTAGATATCCTGGGTGGAGGAGTAGGTAGGAACACATATAAAATGTCAATGTCAGAGGTCCTAGGGTGGAGGGGTAGGTAGGAACCACATATAAAATGTCAATGCCCGAGATCCTGGGGTGGAGGAGTAGGTAGGAACCACACATAAAAAATGTCAATGTCCGATATCCTGGTCTGAGGAGTAGGTAGGAACCACATATAAGATGTCAATGTCAGAGGTCCTAGGGTGAAGAAAGGAGTAGGTAGGAACCACAAATAAAATGTCATTGCGAGAGACCCTAGGGTGCGGGAGTAAGTAGAAACCACATATAAAACGTAAATGCCAGAGATCCTAGGGTGGAGGAGTAGGTAGGAACCACACATAAAAAATGTCAATGTCCGATATCCTGGTCTGAGGAGTAGGTAGGAACCACATATAAGATGTCAATGTCAGAGGTCCTAGGGTGAAGAAAGGAGTAGGTAGGAACCACAAATAAAATGTCATTGCGAGAGACCCTAGGGTGCGGGAGTAAGTAGGAACCACATATAAAACGTAAATGCCAGAGATCCTAGGGTGGAGGAGTAGGTAGGAACCACACATAAAAAATGTCAATGTCAGAGGTCCTAGGGTGAAGAAAGGAGTAGGTAGGAACCACAAATAAAATGTCATTGCGAGAGACCCTAGGGTGCGGGAGTAAGTAGGAACCACATATAAAACGTAAATGCCAGAGATCCTAGGGTGGAGGGGTAGGTAGGAACCACATATAAAACGTCAATGTCAGAGGGCCTTGGGTGGAGGGGTAGGTAGGAACCACATATAAAACGTCAATGCCAGAGATCCTAGGGTGGAGGGGTAGGTAGGAACCACATATAAAACGTCAATGCCAGAGATCCTAGGGTGCGGGAGTAAGTAGGAACCACATATAAAACGTCAATGCCAGAGATCCTAGGGTGGAGGGGTAGGTAGGACCCACATATAAAACGTCAATGCCAGAGATCCTAGGGTGTAGGGATAGGTAGGAACCACATATAAAATATCACTGCCAGAGATCCTAGGGTGGAGGAGTAAGTAAGAACAAGTATAAGACGCCAATGTCAGAGATCCTAGGGTGGAGGGGTAGGTAGGAACCACATAACAAATTTTAATGCCAGAGATCCTTGGTTGGAGGGGTAGGTAGGAACACATATAAAACGTCAATGTCAGAGATCGTAGGGTAGTTTGGTAGGTAGGGACACATATAAAACGTCAATGCCAGAGATCCTAGGGTGGAGGGGTAGGTAGGAACAACATATAAAACGTCAATGTCAGAGGGCCTTGGGTGGAGTTGTAGGTAGGAACACATATAAAACGTAAATGTCAGAGTTCCTAGTGTGGAGGAGTATGTAAAAACACGTAAAAACGTCATTATCAGAGGTCCTAGGGTGGAGGGGTAGGTAGGAACCACATAAAAAAATTTAATGCCAGAGATCCTTGGTTGGAGGGGTAGGTAGGAACACATATTAAACGTCAATGTCAGAGATCGTAGGGTAGTTGGGTAGGTAGGGACACATATAAAACGTCAATGCCAGAGATCCTAGGGTGGAGGGGTAGGTAGGAACAACATATAAAACGTCAATGCCAGATATCCTAGGGTGGAGGGGTAGGTAGGAACACATATAAAACGTCAATGCCAGAGATCCTAGGGTGGAGGGGTAGGTAGGAACCACATATAAAACGTCAATGTCAGAGGGCCTTGGGTGGAAGGGTAGGTAGGAACCACATATAAAACGTCAATGCCAGAGTTCCTAGTGTGGAGAAGTATGTAAAAACACGTAAAAACGTCATTATCAGAGGTCCTAGGGTGGATGGGTAGGTAGGAACCACATATAAAATATCACTGCCAGAGATCCTAGGGCGGAGGAGTAAATAAGAACAAGTATAAGACGCCAATGTCAGAGATCCTAGGGTGGAGGGGTAAGTCAGAATAAAATATAAAATGTCAATGGCAGAGATCCTGGGTGGAGGAATAGGTAGGAACCACATATAACATATCAATGTCAGAGATCCTAGGGTGGAGGAGTAGGTAGGAACCACACATAAAATGTCAATGTCAGAGATCGTGGGGTGGATGGGTAGGAAGGAAAATATATAAAACGTCAATGTCACAGATCCTGGGGTGGAGGAGTAGGTAGGACACTCATATAAAACGTCAGTGTCAGAGTTCCTAGTGTGGAGGAGTATGTAAAAACACGTAAAAACGTCAATATCAGAGGTCCTAGGGTGGAGGGGTAGGTAGGAACCATATATAAAGTTTCAATGCCAGAGATCCTGGGTTGGAGGGGTAGGTAGGAACACATATAAAACGTCAATGTCAGAGATCCTAGGGTGGAGGAGTAGGTAGAAACCACATATAAAACGTCAATGAAAGAGATCCTAGGGTAGAGGGGTAGGTAGGGACACATATAAAACGTTAATGGCAGAGATCCTAGTGTGGATAGTAGGTAAAAACACATGAAAAACATCAATATCAGAGGTCCTAGGGTGGAGGGGTAGGTAGGAACCACATATAAAACGTCAATGCCCGATATCCTAGGGTTGACGAGTAGGTAGGAACATGTATAAGACGTTAATGTCAGATATACTTTGGAGGAGGGGTAGGTAGTAACACTTATAAAACGTCAATCTCAGAGTTCCTAGGGTGGAAGAGTAGGTAAAAACACAGAAGAAACGTCAGAATCAGAGGTCATAGTATTAAGGGGTAGGTAGGAATAACATATAAAATGTCAATGGCAGAGATCCTGGGTGGAGGAGTAGTTAGGAACCACATATAACATGTCAATGCCAGAGATCCTGGGGTGGAGGAGTAGGTAGGAACCACATCTAAAATGTCAATGACAGAGATCCTGGGGTGGATGGGTAGGTAGGAACCACATATAAAACGTTAATGTCAGAGATCCTGGGGTGGATGGGTA